AGTTAAGCAAGTTATCAGCCTAGAATTTTTGCGTTCCCATAAATGGTCTAATTTGAGCCTCTCGTGCATTCCATTGACTTTATCTAGCGCCAATTTAGTATTGAACCTAAGGTGGGTATATTCTTGTGCATAAAAGTAAAGGTAAAGTTTCCCCTTGAACATACAATATGTGCTAGTCGTTCCCAACTCTAGGGGCTGGTGCTCATCTCTGTTTCAAAGCCAAAGAGACAGCGCTGTCCGAAGACGTCTCTGTGATCATGTAGCCGGCATGACTAAATGCCGAAGGCTCATGGAACACTGTTACCTTCCCACCAAAGATGGTTCCCCGTTTTTCTACTTGCATTTTTACGTCCTTTCGAACTGCTAAGTTGGCAGAAGCTGGGAACAAGTAACAGGAGCTCACTCCGTTATGCGGCGCTAGGGATTCGAACCACTGAACTGACGACCTTTCTCATCAACAAGCTCAGCATCTTAGCCACTGAGCCACTGCGTCCCTTCTTGTGCATAAATTTGAACAATGAATCTTAACGTCAACATAACATATGGTGCTGATTCTTCGTGCAGGACATCTCACGTGGGAAAAATAACTTTCCGCGACAACTGTCAAGTTCTTCTTTCAGAAGTTACAACATTTATCCATTTTTTGTTTGCTGGCTACAACCTTTGAGTCTCTTCCCACCCGCTACAATTCTTTCGAGAATCCACAACATCTTGGCTGGAGGATCTCATGTGCTTTTGGAGAGTTCTCAGACAAAAGAACAACGAAGGATGTTCAGCAGTGAGGACTTGTGCTCATATTTCAATAAGCGAGGGATGAAGAGACCACAGAATGCTGGGAAGTAGCCAACTTTGACTGTAACAGCCAAAAAGAAAAGAAAAAAACAGTCCCAAAGTGATGACAGAAGCTTTACAAATTTAGTCTAACTGGGTTATTTAATAAGCATTTATTTAGACACATCTCTCCAGCAAATGTTATATAATGTTGATCAGAAGGTTGTCAGTTCAGTGGTTTGAATTCCTAGCGCCGCATAACAGAGTGAGCTCCCGTTACTTTTCGCAGCTTCTACCAACCTAGCAGTTCGAAAGCATGTAAAAATGCAAGTGGAAAAATACCACCTTTGGTGGGAAGGTAACAGTGTTCCTTCAGCGTTTAGTCATGCCACGGAAACATCTTCGGGCAGCGTTGGCTCTTTGGCTTTGAAATGGAGATGAGCACCGCCCCTTAGAGTCCAACGACCAACACATATGTGCGAGGGAAACCTTTACCTTTACCTCCAGCAAATGTTAGTATGTCCATATTTCTGTATGTCCAGCAGTAAAGAGCAGGGCACAGTGATAAAGGTATTAAATAAAATTGATGATTTAGAATAGTTAGCACTAGAATAACAGAGCTGGAAGGGACCTTGGAGTCCTTCTAATCCCTGCTCGAGCAGGAGACCCTATACCGTTTCAGACAAAAAGTTGTCCAATCTCGTCTTGAAAACCTCCAGTGATGGAGCACCCACAATTTCTGGAGGCAAGTTAATTGTTGATTAATTGTTCTAACTATCAGGAAATTTCACCTGATTTCCAGGTTGGTTCTCCCCTTGATTAGTTTCCATCCATTGCTGCTTCTCCTGCCTCCAGATGCTTTGGAAAATAAGTTGACCCCCCACATCCCCCGCAGTCTTTGTTGTATAGCCCTATAGCAGAGGTAGCTTCCTACCGGTTTGGTCCTGCCATACCCCAAAACAGGTTCTCCTATGGTGCCGCCATCTTGATTTTTGTTTCTGCGCATACGCAGAACAATTTTCATTGCAGAAGTGTAAGGGTTTCCCCCTTTTTTTTTAACATTTTGCACATGCGCAGATCTTTTTAGGTGCAAATGCACATGTGTGCGGAGCAAAAACATTTGCATACCAAACAGGTAGTAATGCTGGGTGCAACCGACCCCTGCCTCATAGATATTGCAAGACTGCTATCATTTCATCCGTGGTTCTTCTTTTCATTAAACTAGACATACCAAATACTTCTAGTTACAAAAAAACCATGCATTAAAAAAAATAGCTCTGTGATCTTCTGTAGAATCTGCACCCACTGAAGAAGACGACCCTGGATGAAGAATAGATTCCTTCATGGTCTGCAATTATGAAATTCTTTAGTTGCAATAGATAAACCTTAGGTTTGATCCAGCAAAACAAGTCCGCTCTCGTTCAACAAGTCCGCTGCCTGACAAATATATAAGGCTGCAGCAAATAAGTTTAAGTTGTACATGGAGTATTGGTAGACTCAAGCATCCCTGCAGTAAGTTCAGAGAGCACCAAAGACCATATACAATCTTCTACCCTGTTTCCCTGGAAAAAAGACCTTCTGGATAATAAGCCCAATTGGGCTTTTAAGCGCATGCACTAAAACAAGCCCTCCCCAAAAATATTGCAACACAGCAGCACCCATGAGGTGACCACACTTGCTGCCTTCTGCATTTCAAAAATAATAAGACCTTCCCAAAAATAAGGCCAAGTGCTTATTTCAGGGGTCAAAAGAAAATAAGACCCTGTCTTATTTTTGGGAAAACACAGTAGATCAAGGTGTCAAACTCAAGGACAACGGGCCGGATCTGGCCTGTATGGTGCTGGAAATATCAAAGGACCAGCCCATAATGCCTTTCCCCGGCAAAGGGGCCCCTGGGCGGCCCCTGCTTGGCCCATTGTTAGCTGGCATAATGCTGCTGGACACCATGGAGGGCAAAAACAAGGCACAGAGGGGCCACGCACGGTCCCCTGTGCCCCCTTTTGCCTGGTAAAGTGCTGCAGGAGGCCGTGCAGGCCGAAAATGGGTCGCACCCATTTGGGCCAGCAGGATGCTGCTGCAGGAGGCCTCCATTTATTCCCCCCTCCCGCCACAAACCCCCCCCCCCCCACTGGCCTATGGAGAATGACAATGCTGATCCAGCCCTTGAAGAAATCCAGTTTGACACCCCTGCTCTTGGTGACCACTAAATTTAAGTTTATCTGAGAGCCAAAATTATATACTTTTTTAAAAAAAAGCTTCTTATATTTGTGATTCTACAACAGCTCAGCAGACTTGCAAAAACTCTTTTTTGGTGAAATTTTGCTACAGCCGGTCCTTTGCCACTCGATATTTGATTGTAAGAAAGAATATTCAGAAAGCTGGCCAGAAAAAAAACAGAATTTCTCTTCAAATGTGTCTGTCCTCAGTTCTTTTGGGGTATTGTGCAAGGTTTCTTTGTCTGCGGAAATAACGGCTTCTGTTTTTTTTTGTTTTTTTTTTAAATCCCCCTTAGATGGTCATTTGGAGTGCTGTTATGGGAAATTGTGACCCTCGGAGGTAATCCATATCCAGGAATTGCTCCAGAGAGGCTGTTTAACCTCTTAAAAACTGGCTATAGAATGGAGAAACCGGAAAACTGCAGTGAGGAGATGTAAGTAACCTCAGATCAGAAGGATCATATCCAGCCCAAGGATTACAATCAGCTATTTTCTCTTAGATTTCTGCAAATTGGATGAATAGGATCGTGGTGGACTTCAAATATTTTAGCAAGAGGTTTTCTGCCTTGTTGCTGGGTGGGCGTGGTGATGGTGGGCGTGGCTTAGTCAGCCTCCTACACCATGGTGTGTGTGGGCCCCAGAGGTTTTCTTCGAGCCTCCGGGAGGGCGAAAATGGCCTCCCCAGGCTCTGGAGGCTGGATACTGGTCTGTTTCCGGCCTTCCCGAAATTCTGATAGGACCATTTCTTGCCCTCCTCGAGCGTCCGTGTGCGCCCTGCACTTACCTGCATGCAAAACGGGCCACGTAGGGACTCCTGGGAGTGGTGGGGTGGTGTCTAGGAGTTACTGTCTAGGAGTTATTGTTTTCCTCCCCTTTGAGGAGAAATTCAAACATGGAGAGCCTTTAAACTTTTAACCATAATCCCAAAAGGATGAAGGTCTGGTGGAGCACAGGAAGGACGATGAACTGGCTCATCGAATTCAGTTTCCTCATCTTCGCAACTTCTAGATGTGGAGCCCTTGATGCTCTCTCTGCTTGGTTGTTCTCTTGCAGACATTTTATTGCACAATTACGTAATATCTTCTTTATTTATTTATATATTTGTGAAACAAGTACAAGATAACAAGTATAGGTATGAACATAGACATGAACAAAGGAAGTAGAACAAACTTCCCCCCTTTTGGGTTGTGAGCCGCCCTGAGTCCCCCCAGGGAAAAGGGCGGCATATAAATAAACTTCTACAATCTACAAGTAAGTATAGAAACAGTAAGACAGGGGCGGTAGGCACGCTGTTGTGCTTATGCACACCCCCTTTACGGACCTCTTATGAATGGGGTGAGGTCCAGAGTAGACAGTTTGAGGTTGAAGCTGTGAGGGTTTGAGCTGTAACAACAGTCGGGTAGAGCATTCCAGGTGTTGACCGCTCTGTTGCTGAAGTCGTATTTTCTGCAATCGAGTTTGAAGCAGTTCACCGTGCGTTTGTATCAATTGTTTGCCCGTGTATTATTGTGGTTGAAATTGAAGTAGTCCTTGACAGGCAAGATGTTGTAGCAGACAATTTTGTGTACTATGCTTAGATCGGACCACAAGCGGCGCAGTTCCAGACTGTCCAAGCTCAAAATTTGAAGGCTGGTAGCATAAGGGATTCTATTGTGAGTAGAGGAGTGGAGGACTCTTCTCGTGAAATATCTCTGGACCCGCTCAATCATATTAATGTCCGATATACAGTGTCGATTCCAAGCAGACGGGCTGTATTCAAGAATTGGTCTGGCAAAGGTTAGGTCGAAGATGTGCACTGAAGACATTACCTGGTTTGGTAATGAAACGTCTTCAAGAGAACAACCAAGCTCAGAAGTCCACAGTTCAGTCCCGAGCCAGAAACATTGTCTTCTGTTGGTAGTTCTAAAGATGAACTTGAATTCCGTTATTGAAGATGTCCATAGTTGAGAATTTTAATGGTTCAAGAAAACAGGTGTGCATATTTCATGGTTGGGAGATCCTAGTCTAATCCTTAAGACCCTGACTCATAATTATATTATCCAGTCTCTTCTTCAGCTATTGCTTGCATTGAAGGGTCTGCCATACCCAGCTTGCAAAATTAAGAGAAATACTAGGTTGACAACAAAGAAATACAGAATGTCAGGGTTCCAAGTAAGACCCCCAATGAAAGAAGACTCCGAGGCTTGAGTTTCCTCAAAGTTCCATTTCATTAGAGATGTCATATTGGCACNTGACAAATCACGGCTTGAACTATCTTGCTTTGCATGTAATGAATCTATCTCATATGTAATGAATCTATCTCATTTACCTGTTAAGTTGCATTACTGAAATAAATGAATTTTTGCACGATATTCTAATTTTTTGAGTTTCACCTGTATATGTGGCTGACTTGCTGTTCTGTTTCTTTGATGCTTAACTCCCACCAGAGAAGCTGCGGATATCTCAAATCGGAAAAGTGACAGAAACATGGAAACTATTAGTTTTCTGAACTGGTGTCTGATAGCAACAATGAGTTGGATAAGAGCAGGGCTGTCAAACTCTCAGGCTGCGGGCTGGATGTGTCACGCACTGGCCATGCCCACGCCCGGTTTAGCAAAAGGGAAAAAAGGTGCCGATATGTCACGTGATACAGCTGTGACACCATGAGTTTGACACCCTTGGATAAGAGGTAACAAACTAATTCTTACTCAAGGCAAGGCAGAAGTGCTGTAGGGGAATAGGATAGAATTCAGTATCTTTTGGATACAATAGTTCTCTCCCGGAAAAATTCAGGATGCACTTGGATCAGGGGTGGGTTGCTCCTGGCATTACTGCCAGTTCGGTCCGTGCAAAACATTTTAAAAAGAAAAATAAATACATTTGTGCAACCACAATTGTTCTGCGCATGCGCAGAACCGAAAATCAAGATGGTGGCCCCGTAGAAGAACCGGTTCAGGGGCGTGGCAGACCTGGGTTGCTGCTGGTTCCAGTGACCCAGGCCACCAAACCACTACAGGTTCAGCTGATCTCGTCTGAACCGATAGGAACCCACCTCTGAGTTGAGTCTCAAATGACAACTGTGTAGGAATTGCTTTGGCCAACTGGCCAACTGTGTGGTCAGAGGTGCTCTAAGGTGAATCCATCTTTGAAGAGTCTTTAGGAATTTGAGTGGGCCCAAAATTCAGCAGCAATAATGGATACAGCAATTGACAGAATTGAGATCTAACCTCTTTTTGAAAAAAGGTATATTGTTCCAACATTTGTCAGGGTTTGTCTGACGAAAACTAATGTAGTCGCTGGATGCCTGTTCCCGTAATTATCTATTAATTATCTATTAAGAGCTAATTAAAATATGTTATTTTGTACATTCTTAGCTATTTTATGATTAGCCTTTCATCAGAATTTCTACAAGAGAACTTTGTGGCAAATTATGCAATTGGCATTGGATGTGGACAGAAAGGCACTTGCAAAACACAGTGATGAAAGAACTTGGCAGTACAATATATGCACTGTTCCTTCTAAAGGGCTTTGCGGGAGTCAAAGGAAGCATGACAGATCCGAAAGAGCTACTGAACAAGCCAAGGGGGCGGCTTCTGAGATCATCTGGGATGAAGGCACATGGCCAGAACCAACAACACCAACTATTGTGTCGCTATGTTTACACAGTATCACCTGGTTGTGTCCAGGTCTCTCGGAGCACTGGACATTAGAACAAAGACCAAAGATTTCCAAGACTGGGGTGATGGGGAGGTGGATTGTGTTCTAAAAGTGGTACCAGAGGTGGGTTCCTAGCGGTTCGGCCCGGCTAGGCCAAATAGGTAGTAGCTCAGCCGGACACGTGACTGAACCAGTTCTATCCTGGGTGGCACCATCTTGATTTTCTGTTCTGCACAGGCACAGAACAATCTTCACTGAAAAAAATGTAATTTTTTAATGTTGTGCACATGCACAGACCTTTTTAAGTGCAAATGCGCACACATGTGCAAGTAAACCGAGCACCGCATGGAACATTTTTTGGGCGCTGAACCTGTAGTAATCCTGGCAGGAACTCACCCCTGAGTGGTACTGTGGGTCATTTAGAAATATCTGAAAAATGATGTCAGACTTCGTTATTATACAAAGTTCAGTTGGTGAAGAGTATGTGCAATGGTGAATCGCCTCTCCTGTTACTCATAAGCTATCTCTCCGATACTGTTTAGTTCAGATAAGGAAATGCATGATAAGGATATTATCTACATCAAAAAGTCCAGGTCTTGTAAATAAATCGCAGGTTCATTTGCCAATACATGATCATTATCTCATTTCCCAAGGCATTCAACCGTTACGAATAAATACGTTAGTTTTAAGATTTAAAGTTAACTCTCAAAGCTAGGCCTGCAGTTGATGGAGGAGAAGAACTGCTGTTATATTGTTACTTGCCATGTTTTAGCTCCTCCTCTACAATTTCAGTTGTCATCCCTGTTTTTTTCTTGAGGACACAAGGACTAAACGCTTAACAGAGAGAGATAAAACTTGACTTGAGCACAATGGGCATTTCCTTATTGTGAAAAGTTTTATCTCATGCAGAAGATTAACCTGCCAGATAGAAGATAAGTTAAAGAGCTTATCTCAACAACCGGTTTTCTTTGCCGATAGGCTAACAACACAAATTATAGAATCATAAGGCTGGAAGGCAGAATGGGACAATTTGTCACAGCTAAAGTGCCACAGCCAACTCCCATGGCCAACTTGCCACAGCCAACTACCTGTCAGGGTTCCAAGTAAGACCCCCAATGAAAGAAGACTCCGAGGCTTGAGTTTCCTCAAAGTTCCACTTCATTAGAGATGTCATATTGGCACATCTGGGAAAACCCGAATATGAAAGCTTCCAGGTTTTCCCCACCTAAGTGAAAGTTCAAGTCCCTGCCCAGCACCCACATGTCCATCCCATAGTCAGATCAGGCACTGTCCCAACTGGAGAGACCTCCCAGCCACACCACTTCAAGTGCAGGGCAAGATGTCCTTGACCCTCTGAGAAAGGAATGTTATTATGACTATATATCATCCATGCTCCATATAATCCCCCCTCCCATTTCCCCACAGCATTGAATGTGACAGGCCTGAAGGCCCAATGTAAAATATGGCTTCCAGGCCTGCCACTAGCTGTAGCATAACTCACCACATTCAACTTGCTGTAGGACAACTCGCTATGCAACAATTCAATTCAATTATTTAAAATAATTTAAAAAATATTTTAAGTTCAGTCATTCACATTTCATTTTGTTCCTTCTTTGGCATCCTTTTTTTAAAAAAATGATTCTATCCCACCATTTTTTCAGTATTAGTTTAATTCTTGTCTGGTGGGGAGTTCTTCCATGGGGAGTTGGCCATGGGGAGTTGGCTGCAGCAAGTTGTCCTAGACCCCATTGGAAGTTTTCTAGTCCAACCCAGGGGTGAAATTCAGCAGGTTCTGACAGGTTCTGGAGAACCGGTAGCAGAAATTTTGAGTAGTACGGAGAACAGGTAACAGAAATTTTGAGTAGTTCGGAGAACTAGTAACGGAAATTTTGAGTAGTGTGGAGAACCAGCAAATTCCACTTCTGGCTG